AAATCCAATTTTTTATTTACGTGCAGTTACAATTTTCTCACTGATAAGCCGATGTACTATTGTATTAGCTCTTCAATATCGCTCAATGCGAAAAATATTAATAACAAAAACATGCACCAACTATTATACAAAATATTTACATATCATAAGTATAATAATCATATAATAATTGTATATTATAATTTAAGAAACACTTATTAAATAATTGTATTAAATATATAATAGAATGAATAATTTCTCTGTCAATGTTCAATAAATATAATTAATCGATATTTAGTGTATCTACTAAATCTTAAGAAATATGATGAATTTAGATAATAAATGAACATTAAGCTATAATGTTAGTCCATATGACAACAATGTAATAAAAAATTTTTTTTTAGTAGAAAGCAATTGAGTAATTTTAAAAACAATATTATTTAACTTATATATATAAACAGCATGTGTTCAAATTTCTATATTTTTTAATGATAAATTTCAAATTTATGTATGGATATCCGATTAGGAATAGTATTAACAATATTAAAATTTGATTTTTTATTTATTTTTTTTTTAAAATAAATTCACTTAAAATATTTAATGTAATACGTTAAATATTTGTATATGTGTTAGATAAATATATTACAGTTCAATAGAAATTCTTAATTAAACTATATAAGAAAGCTGAACGAATATTCGAATAACGAATAATTAGCACTAATAAAAGATATTTATTAGTGCTAATTATTCAAAAATTAATTTGTACGTGGAATTTTGAAATAGATGACAGTGAAAATTGTGACTGAAGTTTAACGACAAATCAGTATAGACAACTTTATGATCTCACTAGATCTCATTCGCAATAATTTTTGACGTTGTGACACAGCAGAATAGTACGAATAATGGAGGTGATCGCACTGTTGTGTCAGATATTGTCTATTTCTGTTGATCCTGACGATCAATTCCTTATGAAGTTTTAAGATGTTTCATTTCACGATCTCGTAGAAGCGTTGCAATTTTAATCAAATGTGGTATAACAATGACATTCCCTTATCCGCAGTCAATATTGCGTATGAAACTTCATCGCCTACACTTGCAAGTTCGTGACTCAACCAAACGCAGATCTGTGTAAATGGATGTATGCAAGATAGAGTCTAAGATAATATAAATTAGATCTTTATATCTCTATCTTTATAACTGTACATCTCTGTTATAATTCCTCGGTCTACATCTATGGAGTGTACATTCTTTTTACATATTTAAAGAATTATGTTTTCAAATTCTTAAGGTTTAAAATAATACTCTTAAAATCATAAATATACTTGTGGATACGCGTGTGCGTAACCGCGTTCGCGCGAACACGTGAGAATACAAATTTATGACGACACATTTGCGTGGATGCAAGTATATGTATATATATGCGTGTGTGTGTGCGCGCGCGCGCGCACGCGCATGTTTGTTTGTGTGCGCATGTGCAATCACACGCTCATGTGCACGCTTGGAAGCCCGATGTGCCGATATATAGAAGTTAGTAAGGGAAAGTATAAGAGAGATCAAATAAAAGGAAATATTTTTTCATTGACTAGAGACTTTGTGTGGTAGTTATACTAATAAAATTTCGAATATGGCAAAAATAAAAAAAACAATAAAGTAAGAAATAATTTATGAAAAATATATAATAAGATAAACTATTAAATTGATACGCCTCGCATTTATACAAAAAAAAGTATCTTTATAAGACTTAAAGCAAGTAATAGTTGCTGATATCATTGTTTTTATATTTTTAAATAGCAATAGAATAATGAACGTTACCTATAGATATAAAAAAAGAATTGTTATCGTTTTATTTTGCATTGCTTTATTAATAGCCATAAATAGATTACTATAAATAACTATATATAATATTAATAACTATTTATTAATAAAATATACTCGTTAGTCACGAAATATAATCTGACAAATTAATTTAACAATATATATATATTATTTATTTATTATTATGTTTATAATTAACGATACAAATAAGGAATTTAAAACCTTCCTTTTCGGAATGTACTATAATTAATAATTTTACTAAAAATTCTGTTTGAAGAACTTGCCTATTCGGAGTTTTATAATATTTTGGTTAATAGATGAGCAAGTATTATTGTTCCATTAATTAGAGAAGTAAAAATGATCTTCAACCGTACTAACCCGATCTTCAGGAGTATAAAAACAAGTACATCACTTCTGTTTTTATTGAAAAGCAGAAAAGAATTACAAACACTAGTTATTCATCATATTCAACAGAACTCGAGCAATTGTACACAAACCCAAAAATGTGAAAATATACACAGAAAATGATGCGATGCAGCTATTTTTGCTAATGAAAAGCTTAGATTAAAACATAATTTGCAAAATATCTGAAGTTTGAACTCTGATATTTGCTAACAACTTTCTCCAGTTGAGTAGATTTGTCATGTTAAAACTATTGTATCATATGTGGATTCGTACAGTATCGATTCGACTAAATTCCCTAATGTAGCCAACTCGATTTGCTCGTTCTGCATCCTTTATTGTGACGCAATTTGTGCATATGAAGTAATTAAAAAATATCATTATCGATTTTCGTAACCGTTTATTATAATTACATATATTCGCAATAAAATGACAGAATTATTTTTAATTTGTCATTTTTCTGGATATTTTTCCCATCCCGCAGATTCTATACATAAAAACATCTTTCTATTTGAATTAAATGTATCTGATTAAATATTTTGAAATACAATTAGTAAATAATTAATTTTATAATAAGAGAGAATTTCAAAATTTTTTAAACAATTTTTAAGTAAATTTCATCCAACGGTCAAATTATATATTTATACATATATATATATATATATATATATATATATATATGTGTGTGTATAGAAATATAATAGTATGTGTATTGAAATTCCAATGAAATATCTTATAAAATAATTATTATAACAGCTTTATAAATTTCAAATTTCGAAACAAATTCTTTATATTTATTAATATTATCATAGATGCTTTACAAACATTCCTAAATATTTTTAAATAATTATTTACTCAAATGTTTATATGGTAATTTAATAAATCATTAATCTGATCAATCGCTATAAAGAATTATTAAATTATAAAAAAAATATCGAACGATGAGCGTAATATATACTCGTAAATGTACATTAACTCTCTTTCGAAAAACTTTCTTAAGCAAACATTCCTATTTTAAATTGGTTAGCGCATTAAATTAATTTCTGCAGATTAATCACGACTTTTTTAAATATAAATTTACGATAATACGTCATTTAGATAACAATGAAGAACAATAATATGAAAGTTCCTATGGGCACACAGCCAATGCATAGCAATGCGTTGTGACAACCTGCATTCTTGTGATTTAATTAATGGTATTGGTAGTCGTGTAAAGCGAAAGCCTCACAATACATGTACATTTGATGCAAGTCATGGAGATTGTGTCGTTAACATAATACCCCATAGCCAGCAGACATCTATTATTCGAATAAGGAAACTCGCGTGCGAATTCTTATTATTCTCTCTCTCTCTCTCTCTCTCTCTCTCTCTCTCGCTCTCTCTCTGTCATTCTTACGTATTCTTAAAAAATCAGGATACTTTGCTGCGTGATTATTGTATTTGTTATGTTATAATGCATTATTATAATGCGTTAAAATTAAAAATTTTTAAAATTTCCAAGGAAAATAACTTCTAAGGAAAATTTATCATATTATTTAGCGGAACAATTAAATTTATTCTATTTCAATATAAAAGTAATATATTCCGTAGGATGAAAAAAGTTATTGTGTAATGATATGAAATCATCGTAAAAGCATAAATGTAGGATTATAAAAAAACTCTGCGAATAAAATAATTAACTAAGACAGTAACATCTCATCGGTTTAATTAATATGTTATATTAGGTTAGTATATCACTTATTTGATATATTGAAATATAAATACAAAGAATGTTCAAATAACGTATATTATATATACATAGAACCGCTACAATTATGAATAAAAAACAGATTAGTTTACTTAACTATCAGAGTTTGTCGTTATTGAAAAGAATTTTATTTCATTTTTTAAATTTTATATGTTCAAGTTGACACGAGTATAAATTATTAAATGCTTTTAAGTGATTGAATTAGAAGATGCATGCATATACAGTGTTGCTAATGAGAAAATTCTAATATAGACGTCGATGGTACTATGAGAAAATTGATCCGGTACTTAATTATTGCTTCTGTAATCACTAATTTATTGATCAAGATAAGTTGTATTCGGAGTACCACAGGATAAAAGAAAGATACAAGATAACTTATTATATAATATTATATACGTTAT